ATTTTTTTTTCTTTCAATTTTAATATAATTGTAAACATTGCGGGCTTATTAATGAAATAAATATGTTAAAATTTAATTAATTAAATTTAAACATATTTAGTATTTTTTAAATATTAAATAAACATTGCCCAACAACATGAATCGTTGAATCAAGGTTTTAATTTTTTCTTTTTTTAATAAAGCTTGCCAAACAAATTGTTCGTCGGGAAACATTAAGGTTTTACTTTTAGAAAATTTTGGCCGAGGAAAATATTCGGTCGGCCAACCATTTCTCGTCGGGTCTCTTTGGTCAACGTGGGCTTGGCTGACGAATGTTTAGCAGCAAATTAGTCAAGGAAGGTGTAATTGCCTGACAGATACTAATATTTGTTGGATAAAATGTCCAGCGACAAATTTTGCACGACGACCTTTGCCAGACGTATATCCGTCATCCCAAATCTTAGGCAACGAACTCCTACTTTAGGAGACGAATGTTTTTTGTCTAGCAAGTATTTTTTTTATTTTTTTTATTAGTGAGCTATGAATAATGATAAAAAAAATTAACTGTTAGATCACCGAAAAACATAGTGCAGTGAACTCAGACTAAAATTTAAATTTGACAACTTTTGTGGCATTTTGACATATTTTCATGTTTTGCTCTCCACCCGATATGCCAAATTAAACTATTATTTTATTACATTATTTTATTTTCTTAATGTCTTTCTTATTCTTTAAATTTTACATATAAATAATTCATAATTAAAGTCATATTAATTAATACTAATCCAAATAATCCAACAAAATACAACCCTTTAGTTGAAAATAGAATAAATAAAAATCCAACTCAATAATCATCACCTCTAAGAATTTTCATTTTAAGTTGGGAATAATATAGTCGTTCCTCATCACCCATCTCACTTGTGTCCATAAACAGAATTTTTGTCTCAAAATCAATTCGCTTAAATCGAATTTTTTGTTCATCGCTCAACTTTCTTCTTAATAAGTTCCATTTTCGTCTCATCTCTTTCTTTTTTCTCCTCATGTAACTTTTGAATTTGCATCGAAATAGGTGTGGACTCGTTCTTCGCAGCTTCTTTCATTTTTCTCTTGCCAACCTTGTTTCCTAGTGGCCTTTTCTCAGTATCAATGTTGTCTTCTTCAATCTCTACTAGTGTTTTTGAAGTAGAATTCTTTTTCAAAGATCCTACCACTTGTAACCACTTTGGTTGGAGCCTCAACAAAATCCACGCATGATCAAGATTGATTTTTTTTTGGTGTAGTGCTTCATACGTAGCCTTCGCATTTGCAATCTGAAAAATAAAATTCCACATGAGAATAAATATGTATAATTAAAATTAAATACATCAACACTATATTTGATTTACCATGTCTTGCTGAGTTGCGCCACTTTGGTTATGCTCATATAAAGTGGCAAGACATGCAGAAAATCTATTGACCTCCTTCTGGAATTTTTGCCGTCGTTCAGACAACATTCGGCCAACATGATTACTCTCGAACCACTTGTTTTGGTTGTAGAACTCCTCAATTCGTTGCCAATAAGTTTGATGTTTTTGGTCATTTCCAATTATGGCATCCATGGTAGTGTTCAACCATGCACTAATAAGAACATGATCCTCATCCTTGTTGAACCCAGCACCACGAATAACTTTTTTCTTGCTTCCAGACGCTTCCACATCGATTTGTTCAGACACTTGACTTGAAAATTGAGATTGTTGTGAAGAAAAATCTGGAAATTAAAAATCTGGTATTTATTAATGGCTATAAATTTAAGGAATTATTATTAGCACTCCAAAATTCTCATTTGGCACTCCAAACTTTCTATAATTAGAAAGAAAAATACACTAACAAGGAGTGTATAATGAGATTTTTGGAGTGCTAATAATCGTTCCCTATACAAACTATATTATCAGTTGGATTGAGAAAATTAATTTCTCCGACTACAAAAATCCTCAAAGGAATTGAATTTGTGAAATTTGCCAAAACACTTGCCTGGAGGGATTTTGGTCGGTTTGCTGAATGAATATGTACTATAAGCCCTACACCCTAAAGACTTTAACCAACGGAAGGTTTAGATTTCCGTCAGGCAAGACTCCTTTACCCTACAAATCTTTTGGATTTCGTCGGGCAAAACTTCAATTAATTTTTTCTAAACAATAAGATAAATGGGCCTATGAACTTAGAGACAAATACATACTGTTTCTTTAATTTATAATTAGGAGATAAATACATACCTTTTCTTTAATTTACTGACAACCCAATCACAAACCTGCATCATCAAAATTAATTGATTACACATTGAAATAAAAAAATTATTCAATAAATTAAAAGAAACTAACCTTAAATAATTAATTGGGAGAGAGAGATGGAGGAGAGGGTGTGAGTGTGTGTGTGTGTGTGTGTGTGTGTGTGTGTGTGTGTGTGAGAGAGAGAGAGAGAGAGAGAGAGAGAGAGAGAGAGAGAGAGTGTGTGTGTGAGAGATGGGGAGGGAGGGAGGGTTGCAGCAGAGAGCAACCAGGGAGGGCAGAAAAAGAAAGAAGAAGGGAGAAAGAGGAAAGCACGTACCTATTTGATGAATAAGGTTTTCCCAACGAAACATTTTGTTTGGTAACTACAAAGAAAACGTCGAGCAAGGGTTTTGCCGATGGATTTTTTACACATGTCATTGTGGACCTTTGCCTAACAACAAGAAAACTTGGGACGACGAATTGGGCTGTCGAGTAATGTTAATCTAGACCAAACTGATGGGCAATGTTAATCTAGCCGACCAACATCAGTTTGGTTTGCCAAACCATTATATATTACGTGCCATGTTTTCTGTCTTGGTGCCAAAACATTGTCCGATGAATTCCACCTTGCTGTATATAATGTCCGTTGCATAAAGGTTTTGAGTAAACATTAAATGTTAACGTAATTAGATATAAAACACTTTTCGATTTTGACAAAATTTGTATGAATAATCTATGAATAAAGATCTATAATATGAACAGTCTAGATCATGGAAAAATATTGTGGATTGGACCCAAAAGCGTAGTTAGGGCCATATTAAGTTACTAACTAGCTAGCACTTGAGTGCTCCTATGCTTATAAATATCATCCAAATTGAAAAAGCGTACTTAATTTCGACCATCACTTTTTAAAAATATGGTACAATACATAATTAGTTGAATTGGTCCAAAGAGGTATTTTCTAGAGAATTCTTGTACAAAGAAGTAATATTATTTAGTTACACAAAACTAACTATATTACCAACAGAGTTTATAATGCAAATAATTATTACATACAATAGTAGCACTTAATTAATAAATAAGTAATGCTAGGGAGACTAAATTTGTAGACAAAATTTCCAAACTAAATTATGTGTCACCAATTGGAAATGAGCATGTTTATCAACGCTTAACTAAAAATCCAATCATCAACTTACATGTCATTTAGTTTACAAAATTTTGTCTACAAATTCAGTCTCTGTAGCATTACTCTTAATACAGAGTATATTAGCCGCATGATTAGTTTCTGATTCTAAATAGTATATCAGCAAGTGGCCCTTTATCACAGTGGTGGAAAGGAGTTAAGTGATGGCGTGGTTTCAAACCCCATCGGTGACTAATCTAACATTTAATCTAACAAAATCTATCAACAACAACAACAACAAAAGCCTTATCTCACTAAATGGGTTCAGCTGTATGAATCCTAGAACGTCATTGCACTCGATTCTATGCCACGTCTTCTGTTAGATCTAAGTACTCCAAGTATTTTATTAAAGTCTCTTCCAAAGTCTTCCTAGGTCTTCCTCTACCCCTTTAGCCCTGAACCTCTATCTCGTAATTGCATCTTTTAACCAGAGAATCTATAGGTCTTCGTTTCACATGTCCAAACCACCATAACTGAATTTCTCTCATCTTTCCTTCAATTTCAACTACTCCTACTTTACCTCGGGTATCCTCATTCCTAATCTTATCCTTTCTCATGTGCCCACACATCCAACAAAGCACTCTCATCTCTACTACACTCATTTTATGTACATGTTGATGCTTCAGCGCCCAACATTATGTGCTATAAAGCATTGTTGGCCTTACTGTCGTCCTATAAAACTTTCCCTTGATCTTTAGTGGTAGACGACGGTTGCACAACATACCGGATGCACTTTTCCACTTCATCCATCCAACTTGTATTCTATGATTGAGGTCTCCATCCAACTCTTTTTTTTTTTTTGCAAGATAGATCCTAGGTAGCGAAAGTGGTCGCTCTCTGGTACTTCCTAATCTCCGATCCTCACCCCTAACTCATTTGAGCCTCTGTTCTAACAAATTCTATTGTTTTACCAAAAAAAAAAAAGGTATTTTCTTAAATAAAATGAAAAATAAAAATTAACACTGAAAATGAAATGATTATTAGACCACCTTAAGCTTGCTTAATTTTGAGCAAAACGATAACTTGACGAGGGAGAGGAAAGCTAGTAAAGGACCAAATTGAGGGTAATTCACCAAATTAGTGGATCCGTACTATTGAAATTTGATCCAACGGCTGAAATTATTATAACTTTTAAAGTGGGCTCCTGTTTGTAGCCATTGGATCAAATTTTAATGGCATGGATCCACTGATTTGGTGGATTAGGAGAAAGAGATATGGAGAGGATCCCTTTCCCAAGTTGAGGACATCCTCTTGAAATCCAAACTCTCTATCTCTCTCCCTCGTTGTTCTTTCTTTCTTTCTTTAATCCAACCCACTTTTTCTGATAGGATAATGTCAGGAAAACTAAATTTGTATATAAAATTTGTAAACTAAATAATGTATCACTAATAAGAATGAACATGTTTATCAACGTTTAATTAATAATCTAATCATTAATTTTCATGTTATTTAATTTACAAAAAAATTCCTACAAATTTAAGGGAAAAAACTGAAAACCAAATGCGGAAGGATCTTTTTCATTGGTGTTGTAGGCGGGTCCCAATGCACACGGTTCCATACCCTTTTGGCTCCCTACAAATACCCACATTCCTCCGCCCTGTTTTGCCATCATCACCCACACAACCCGCTTATCCTCAAACATCACCTTCATCATCCTCTCTCTCTCTCTCTCTCTCTCTACTATTATTCTCTGCTACTCTCGCAACCCTTCACTCCTTCAGTAGTCTCTCTTTACTCCAGAGACCTCTGTTGGATGCTTTGTTTCTCTGAATCTCTGATCAGGTCAATTACACAGCTAGCACAGCTGGTTTTGTATTTTCTTATTCACATGAATGCATACAACCAACCATTTTAATTTGCTTTGTAACTTGAAATTTTGTTGCAATCTTCAGCAACTTGTTTTTCTGATTTTATCTTGTTTCTTCCATCTTTCTATATACGCAGCTAACACTCGCACAAGCTACTTCGAATCTTAGCTGATTCAGGGAGATGGGTTCTCTCAGCAAGAGCCTAACTCGCTCGCCATCTCTTTTCATGATGAAGAAGACTATGGAGCAAGATGTGGTCACTGAGAAGCAAGGGATCGTCACCGTTCTCGGTCCATCAGACTCTGAAAGAACCAAGGCGGCTTCCTTGCGGCGAACACTGTCCGCAGACATGTCGTCCAAGAGATGGCTGGCTCAAAATGGTTTCTCTCCCATGAAGAAGATTGCGTCATCCGAAGAACTCGGCGTTTCCGCAGACATGCGGGACAATTCATCTTCATCGTCCGAAGACGAAGATCATTACCAAGATCAAAGGAAGGCCAAATTCCATACTTGGAGCTCAATTGACGAGCAAGCTCAAAGGCAGAAAAACAAAGCCGAGGCTGCAAAGCAGCAGCCAGGACAAGCCGATATTTGGAGCTCGATTGTATGTCAAAAGGCCAACGAAGAAGAGGCGAGCAAAGTGGCTACTGCAGCGCCTTATATTCATCCTCTTGTGAAGAAACAATCGAGCGCTTTGACTAAGAAGAGTCTTCAAGTTTGCACTGAAAGTCTTGGATCCGAGACTGGCTCTGAAGGGTTTTCTTCATACCCTACTTCCGAGACCAGTGACATAGAAGTAGTGGATAAAGATCAGCAAGCAGACCAAGCCGTGGTTCAGCAACAAGAAGAAAAAGAAAAAGAGAAGCCTCAGCGGTCAAAAGCATTTGATGAGAACGAATTCCGAGCTGTCAAATACAACTCTGCTGCTAGTAAGAAATTGCCTTCAGCTCGATCTTCCCCTCCACCTCTTTCGTCTTTATCAGGATGTGATGGGGTATCTGTTCACATGAGGACTCATCGCGACAACGGGCGACTAGTCCTTGAAGCGGTGTCTATACCTTCTCCAAATAACTTCCGTGCCGAACGCCATGATGGTCGCCTTGTCCTCACATTTCTCAATGCTACTCCTAGCTCTTGCGAGGCGCCTAAGTGTGAAGAGGTTGCTGATGAAGAAGAGAAATTTAGAGAGGAAGAATTCGAGGAGAATGTGAACTTTGAGGAAGGAGAAGAGGAAAAAGACAGCGAAAAAAGTGATGGTGATGATGTTGATGTTGATGAGGATGAGGATGAGGAGGAAGAAAGTGATGAGGTTGAGAAAGAAAGAAAAGAAAATGGAATCAAAAGAAAAGAAATTGTGATGGAGGAAGCACCAAGAATACTGACAAGTAGAGTGGCAAATGCTCACAGGTTAGCATTAATGATGAATAAGCCGATTGGGTTAGCCAATAAGACTCATGGGTGGATTAACAAGTTCAATCAAGTAGTGAAATATGGAGGGGATGAAGAGGAGGTTGAAGTAGTGGAGCCAACCCCAGTTGCAAAATCACTCCCTCCACGGCCTGGCAGCCTGGCTCGGTTGATACCTAAGCCACTGGCCACCACAAAAACAGCGGCAGCAGCAGCCTCTTTCAACGCTTACGAGTACTATTGGCGCACCAAGCCTACAACTGCCGCTCTCAACCCTCTTCCGCCGCCAACGTCGCAGTCCCTAAAAAACAATGGCTTCATGTCCAAGAATCAGTTGGCAAATGAGCGGCAACAACTGCTTGTCTTGAGAGGGAACAAAGGGGATCATTTGCTCCCTTTTTCAAAGGGTTGCAAAGAGCCCAGAAGATCTCTTCTATTTTGGGAGCCTTATTGCATTGCCACCTCTTGATTATCCAACTCCTCATAGTCCAAGTGATAATCCAAATCCTTTACTACTCACTACCCATTATTAATCAGCTCGATCGCTCCATCATTCGCTTTCTCATCCCCTCCATTCTTTAGGGTTTGTGTCGTCAAATAAAAGAAAACACATACAAGGGAGGGAAAACTCTTGATTTAGAAGATCAAACTACGATCTCAGAGAAAGAAAGAGAGAAGATTTCAACAGTGCGTGTCGCATGTATAATTTATATAAAATCCCACTGTTACAGTAGCTACAACAAAATCTTGGTGTCATCTTTGACTTGTCGGACTGTCTTTTCCTTCTATGCATTGTATGCGGTTTGTCATCAACTTTATTTGCTTTTATAAAACTTAAGCCAATGAGATTTTAATATGCGTCTTGTCTGCCGTAATTGATATTTATTTTGGGGAACAGCATGATTACTATGCTACATGTTTGCTTCTGTTGTTTCGGTTTTAGGTTATAAATCGTATGACTGCCATCATGGATGTATCCCACTTAGAGTACAATATTAGTTAGGCATATAATAATCATATATCTAAAATCAAATTAAATCTTTTTCCAAATCAATTATTGAGCTACAAAGTAAAAGAGGTATTCTTTTTTAAACTAATCAAATTTTAGAGAAGGGGGAATTCCAACTCAAATTCAAAGAGAAGAGTTCACTCTAGCAGTGTCAGCGTCTGCATGGATTCTCTTCTATTATATACACCTTGCATGCAATAATTATAGGGTTGTAATAAAATTTTTTTTTTTTTTTTTTTTGGAAACTGTGTTAAATTTGGGTCTAAGAGCATGTATAAACCAATATGTCAAACTGGCATCAAGACCTGCTATGAGATTCTGAAAGTCTTTTGCGGGTCCTCTTACAAAAATTGAGGCCTTTCTAATCCAAAGTTAATTGCCACTTAATATTATGATTTAACGGTATTTTGCATCACTTGTGACTAGATTTGGCGATTTCTTACAGACTTGTTAACACAATACGAAAATAACGAGTTTCGGATCAGCACGATAACTAATCGGGTCATTATCGAATCACACAAATAACGGGTCCTTAACAAGTTTACACAAGGGTGACACACGGTTAACCTATTTTGACGCATTAAAGAAAAAGTTATTTTGATGATTTTAATTTTTTAAACTACTAAAAAAACTTACTTTGAAATACAATAGTCATAGTGTATATGTATATATTGTATATTAAATATGTATTATTGTATTTATATTCTATATAAATTTTAAAATTTAAAATTTTATTTATTTATTTATTTTTATAGTATGCTATAGGCAAAGAGTGAGATTAAAAATTATAAAACACATTAAAATAAAGATATCAACTAATTTAAAAATACCAACACATTAAAAAATCATAATAATTCATTTACAAGTGCAAAAACTAGGAAAAAAAATATATGTAAATGCTCGTAATCGCATCCTCTACGCTTTGAGGAGGGGTACATTGTCGTTTTGAATTTTAAAAACCATACAAACCCTCATGAATAATACTTTTAAGGGAGTTCAAAATAGATAACATCAATCTGAAAAATGTGAAAGCATATATAAACGCTCGTAATTGCATCATCTACACTTAGACGATGGTTACGTGGTCGTTTAGAGTTTTAAAACCCTACAAATCTCATGAATAGTATTTTTATTTGAGTGCAAAACTAATATATCAAGCCAAAGTTCCAATACCATTCCTTTGGTGATTGATGAAAATTGAAAGGTTTTATTGTCAAAAATGTGTTAAGATTCCTCAACCTTAAAATGCAACTCCTTTCATTTTGCATATCCTTAAACATTTGGTATATAGTAGTAATGTACTAATCTTTTTTTCATTAGGCTCTTATCTAATATTTGAAAGACAAATGTTTTCTTTTTTGTTTTGAAGTAATATTTATGTGACAATGTGGTATGCATATACTAATTCAGTATTATGTTATGCATTTTTTTGGGTCAAATTATGTTTTTCATTTTCATTATTTATTGATTTAAAAATACATACATACATACATACATACATACATACATACATACATACATATATATATATATATACTTCTTTAATAGGTAACGGGTCGATTTTGGGTCGGGTCATATTACCCGTTTACTTTAACAAGTGTTACACGACATGACCCGTTAAGATATCAGATATGTCAAGAAAATGACATGAACACGAAAAACGCAACACAAATGTCAGGTCTACTTGTAAGTGAGAAGTTTTAAATTTGAATATCTGACAAGTTTAAAACCAATTTGAATATCTGACAAGTTTAAAACCAAATATTCTCCAGACTTCTTAGTATAAATTTATCTTTGCACTACCATAAATTATCATTTGGTCGACAATATTTTGCTCAACAAACTATAATTTGTTCGATAGAGAGTATTTACCCGACGGAATACAATGATTCGTAGGCCAAAACTGGTCAATGTTTTGGTTTCTTCAAAGGCTTTTGCCTAACGTACAAAATTTGACGGGCAAAGTATACTTCATCTGTTAAAGTGTTTGTGTGGAGGAAAAAAAACTTGGCGCGTAATATGGCATTCTTTGAACAACGAACCTTGAATCTTTGAACAACGAAACCATTCAGGTTTCGCCACTCAAAAGTGTACATTAGGGTTTAAGGTTTATATTCGGTCGAGCAAAATGAGAGACATGATTGGCATATTTAATTCCTTTGATGATTTTCATAGTCTATAAAATTATTTTCAACAATCCAACCGCCAAATTTGTTTGTATATACTTCAAGATCACTTACACCAAAAATCACCAAAGAAAAACTATAGAGGATTAGGTAACAGGATAAAATCCTTTGACGGTTAGAAATAAAAAACCACGATTTAACAGTTATTTTAGCTTCAATTTTGATGATTTTTCACAAGTACACTCCTTGACTCTAGAAGAACACAATGAACAAACCCGATAATCAATTTAAAATATTTACACTAGTGGATACCACAAGATCTTACATTCTAATTAATGAAAGTTTAGAATAAATACATTCTAATTAATGAAAGTTTAGAATAAACTCTAAGTGTTTGTTGAATCTATTGTTTTGACAGGATACGCAATCTATGAAACTAATTTTAATGATCTAACTGTCAAACTTGTTTGCATATACTCTGAGATTGCATACACCCAAAATCACGAAAAATAAACGTTCGAAGATTATGTAACATGACGCAACCCTTTGATGGTTACGAACGGAAACTCTTCTAGTTATAGATTTCTAACATATACTTCCATGGATACATTATCACTAGGAAGGTGTAAGGAATAACGTGTTAGCAAATATATGGTAATTATAAATTATATAATGAATATAATTTAGATTGATTTTATAGCTACTTGATTAGGGTCTTTAAATCAAATAGCACTACCCACTATTTTGACAAATTTCATATCCCTCAATTGGAATTCAACAGTTTTGGAGGCAACTCTTAGCGGAGTATGAGAGGCTCACCATTACCAAACCTACCACACAATAATATGATGTTGCCTAGCATTAGTAATGACGAGAGAGTAACTCATGCTCATTTACAGCCTTTAGAGAATGTCACCTTACAAGAATTTGATGTTGGCGCCATTGCACTTAACTCGTTAGGGGTTCGAGAATGACCTAACAATAATACGATGTTGGGCACGCTTGTTGCCTTTCACATCATCATGTATGTACATAGAACACCTTTTGCGTGTAAGCACATACATTGAACTTCCCCATAATCAGGTGAAGACGGTGTATTAGTCATGAACGATTGGAGCCTACCATGGTAGAAGGCCACGGAAGAGTGTTCTAAACACCCTCATGCTTGTCAACTTAAAGTTAGTTTGGTTGAAAGGTTTTTGGTCTCATCACATAAAAATAAGCATTTTCATCTCTTTAAAATAATATGATCTTATTACAACTATCGGTCCATATGATTGATTTAGTAGCATATGATGCTCCCAGTACTTGTGTTAAACAGTTTTTTAAGCGAGAATATATAGTACTACTAACAAAAGCTTTGCATTCTATAGTGGTACTATCTTAGGCCCTAGAATGATTATGAACGTTTGAGTTGATCCAACACAATCCTAGTGTTGAATCTTGGTCTGGGAGGGTAATTGATTTTCCCTTCCTGATAAATGAAGTCAAGGGGTGTCGTTGGATCTCGTGAAGGCGTCGTTGGATCTCGTGAAGGCGTCGTTGCCCCCTTTTTGATTAATGAAGGGTAGTGTGGACTTGTCACATTCAAATTTGATCACAAGAGCAAAGTTTTGAAGTGTGATCAAAGCTCTTAATTGCCCAAAAAGACTAACAAGCAAACGGCTGTTCGCAAATTGGGCCTTATTCATACTAAACATGCTGGCTATCAGAGACCTATTGTGGAGGGTGATTTCAAAATTCTTATTGATTGTCTTGTTTATTGATCATTTAGGCCTTGGTGAATTAGAACAATTTGTAGGAACAGTGTAAGCTTAGCTAGTGATTTCTCTTCTTTTCCTTTCATCATATTTTGAGACTGACTAACTTTTGGGTTTTTATGCTCCGTGGCCTTGATTGTCTTTTACTTTAGTTATGCTTTGTGCTTTCTCTAAACCAGAGGCTAAACCACCTAGAGGAAATCTTGGTGGCACCAAGTCGTCCTTAATGTGTTATGAAAAAACCTTCCGACCATTAGGAAAACAATTCACTAGCAACCAATTAGAAACTATGTAACCATTCAGTGACTAGCAACTGAAAATCATTAAAATATTTGGTTTCATTTATGTCCAACTAGATGTCAATCATGAGTCCTATTGTTCAGCAGCAACTAACTGAATTTTTCACATTTTCAGTAGCTTGCAACCAAAATTACCTCTTCTCCACCATTGATTTTAAGAGCAACACATTCTTTGAATTCCAACCGCTGATGTCTAACATTTAAAAAATTACCACAAAAACATGCCCAAAAGAAATATAAACTCCTGGTTTGCAACAATTTAGGGTTATTGGCGAGCAGTGCAAGTCGTAAACACGTAAGAACAAGTTCATGCGGGGGATTTCTAAACTCTTTTGATAACCTAAACCTAATCAAGGTCCAGAATTCCTGATCAGATTATATTTATACTGTACGAGGTATTAGAACAATATATTAATCATATCTCCCATGGACACAACAATACTCCTGTTTACATGTAAGTCAAAGATTCATACTAATCTTCCACATACCAGGCTTTCGAATATCTGCTTCTTTAACCAATGCAGCAACCTACAACGACACTCAGGCCAAAACAAAATCAACCTCGTTTGACTGGCCTTTGAACGTAAGATTTGTTAGGGTCTTCAGTCTTGAGCTTAGGAGGTCGAATTTCTCCCTTTTTGGCCTGCAAATGAACCCAAATAACGCAATCGTTTATTTTAAATTTTCCAAGTCTAAACACAAATTGTTGCTTATAACAACGTAACTAAATCAGGACGACTTACCTTCTTTCCACCCTTCATAAAATCCCTCCAGCTTGAAACCTGATCATGAATGTGATGAGGAAAGTGAACAAATGTAATTAGAATTCTGACTACGAAAAAAATTAGTGCCATTCAACCTAACCACATTTTAGGAAAATTAAGTTGATACTGCAGTTTCATCTCGAATTACTAACGGAAAACTGTTAAAGTTGAGACGAGGGTTGATTAAGAAACTGTTTGAGAAAAGATTTGCATAGAATTTGGAAGAAATATAACTGCAACCATTCGACTCACGGGACAAATATGAATTCAAAGCAACACAAATGGACATCTCCCCATGATAATTCACATGCATTTGGGGCAATACAAAGGATATTCCAAGGCCATTGGGGGATAATTTATTTCAAGATACAACATACATTTCAATGGAGATTGCTAAAAAAATTGAGTGGGCACAGGGAAATAATAAGAGGAATGGGTTAGGTTCTCAGGGAACCTGAATAAACTGCCTTTCACCTTAGACCTTATATATGGTTTGATTCATCAAGGTCATCAATCATGAGACAACCAACAAATAGTGTCTTTCAGGGTCTTGAAATTAAGTACAAGATTTTATTGTTGGTGTAAAAGTTGGCTCGATACAAGCCCAGATGGTTGTGAAGAGAATCCCACATCTGAAAAGTACAACAACTATCTATGGTTTAGATATAGGTGTTCCACTTCTAATTGCACCGAGGCCTTTTGAGATAAAACCTCACACCTAAGGTCCATTGGGCTTTGGTACCACTCAGGGGAATGGGCCTAGGTGGTTAATTGGGGGCAGTATCGGTGCATGGTGGCCTTAGTAGTGGACACTTATGGAGCCCGTGACACAACACCTATTGCATTGGAGATAGCTAACAACCTCATATTGTAAAATCAGGCCTGACTACACACATCTTATGCTGTCCAACATAGGAAAACGCAAAAAGATAGAAACAAACCCTCTGTTCTCTTGTTCCTTCCCATTGTTCCTCATGCTCCCGTTTCCTTTTCCACATCTCTTTGGTTTCTTCTTCATCTTTTTTCAATCTACCTTCCTCTTCTGAAATCTAAATGAGAATGAAGACAAAGAAACCTATTTTAGGGAACCTTCAATAAGCGTCAACTCAAAAACAATATTTCCAGCATGTTGCATACCCTCATTTGCATTTTTCTCCTTCGCCATTCTTGTTCTGTTAATATATCTCGAACCTTCATTTTGAGTTCTTGCTGGAACTCTTCTGACTGTTCATACTGGTGCTCGTATTTTCCCTGTATCATATATAAAAGAGGCATAATGATTAGTAGGTTGTTTCCCTACAAAGGAACTGGAAAGGGCCTAAAACACTTCCATTACCTGCCTCATAGCAGCAAAGAAATTATACAGTAAAACCTCTGTAAAGTAATACTCTATAAAGGAATAACCTCCTTAAAGTCATAAAAAATAATGGTCCCAACTTGGGACTAATTATGTATGGTAATAAGTTATAATTTTTCTTTGTCCCATCTTAAGGAAACGCGCCTCTACATACATAGTAATGATTATCAGTGAGTACAAAAATATGCAATATCACAAATAAAAGTTTAAGATAAACTAAAATATTTTTCTAAAAGTTGTTTGGGACAATGCTTTAGTTTTTAGAGCTGATGTCGCGTCTTTGAGCTTGCGAGTACATATGTGCAAGAAATAAAATACTTGGCACCCAAGAAATCCTATTTAGGAAATACAACATTCATTCATGTTAAATAAGTCAATAAATAATATTTTTTAACTACACCTCTATTAAGTAATAACCTCCTTAAAGTTATAAACTTGGTTTGGTCCCAACTTTGACTTTATAGAGGTTTTACTTAACTATGATAAAATGAATTTAATGTAACTCAGTAAATAAAGAAGGAACTATAATTAACTAGGCAGATAAACTGTATGCAAAGTAAAAATAAACCTGAATAGGTTTTCAATACCCTAGCTAACAAAGATACATAAAAGAGTACTTTGTCTCGCATTTCTCAGAAAACCTGACTCATGATTTTTTTTTTTTTTTTTTTAATTTTAATACATAAGTAACAGAAATTTTCATTAGAAAATAATAAGCAGTACAAATTGAACAAGAAGTTCATTTCTGAAAAAGAAAAAAATACAAACATGAAACCTGCAACAAGGAAACTCTATCCTGATAGGAAATCAGAAAGACGCTAGAATTTTCAAAGAACTACAAAACAGCTGCTTTCGTATCTGCTAAAATAACAAGAAAACTTCTATCTTTTTACTTTAACTCATGTGATAAGATTTATTATCGGAATTTTCAGTAAAGAGTCATCCATCTAGGCATTCGTTATGGATTTACCCTAAAAATTATGTACAGTAATTCCCAGGACCACTAATGTACTAATTTTGTAACTTCTTTTGGTTGATATTATTATATCAATTTAATTGCATGAATATATCACAAAAAACAAAAAATTATATCTAATCTGTGAATGATGTCACCAGATTGGTAATAATAAGGAACAAATATGTGCAACCTATGCAAACGACAACAATTTTGGGGAATGGAAAATACCTCATCAACCAATGATTTTATTTTAGAAGCTGTATCTTTCTTCAACTGCTTCTTCCTTTTAGCTCTAAGTTCTTCTGCAGTCCGCATTAAAACTTTATGAATGTTTTTCCCCCTCCACAAACACAAACAACCCCGCCCAGAAAGTAAAAACTTGCTAATGAAGAATAGAAGATGCATGGAGGACAATTGCATGATGAATTACTTTAATATTTTAGAACAAACTAATTTATCCAAACCCATATACATATGCTTGCCATGAGATATAGCCAATGAATAGCAATAAATTTTATAGATATGCAATTTCAACACTTCATACAAAATTATCACCAAACAACATTTTTCAATTAGCAAACAAAAGATTAACCAAGAGCCCACTGTAGATCAAAGTTTCAAATAACGCATTGTGAGTCACGCCTAAGGCATGAAGTGGAAGGATTTTGCAACAAGGCGTTAAATGTTTTGTGATTGTCCCCTTTAGCGAACACTGTTTGGACATAGCATGTGCTACGCTATTTGTGCAATACTGATGAAGTGTAGGCTATCTGGGCTGTTCCTATTCAAAATATTAAAGATTAAAAATTAAACTGCCCAGAACCATGTAGATCTGGGCCAAAAATTATAAACCTGTTTAAATCTTTTCTCTTCCACAATAGACATCAGCCACCATCTTCTCCTGTGTCCAATATTACTCCTCCTTCAACCGGCCACCCAAAAATTAAAACCCTAGAATCCCCAAATCTTACTAATTAACAAGAAAATATATATTATTTTGAGTTTTTGGCCTTAACCCACTGCTTGTTTGGATATTTGATTTTTATTTAAGTTTATGGTGTTGTTGAACTTGAATTATATGTATTTTGGTATTATGCAAGAATGGTGACATTGTTGTTGAATTAAATGTGTTTTGGTTGATTACTAAGCATGAATAATGAAACTGTTGTACTACTATATATATATTGGTTCATATTATGCTACGCTTTGCAAGTCTTGAAAGGTATATGCCTTGAGTAACAGTACACCCCACACCTCACTTGACGCCTTCATGATTTCGAATAGAGAAATCTAGGCACAAGGACATACAAAAAATAAATAAACTCTGTTACTGACCTTTGGCGGCATTTACTTGGCTAATGATATAATCCCTTTCCTGTTGATCAAGTAATAGTTGTTGGGCTTTTGCCAATGCTGCCAAGAAATCAATAACCCATGGTTAAATTTAAGCAAGCATTCAAATTTAGAAATGCCATTGTCCATTAATAAATCTATGAATCTGCATCCATGTTCCTCTGTACAAAAACAAATCATCACCAAACATCAGACAGTCAACAGCTTCCTACCAACAACAGAACGACATCAAATTGTGTCATCTTGCACATCTTCAAGGGAAATACTACCAACCTAAAAACAATACTAACACATATGACAAATTCAACATCTGTTTTTTGGAGCAACCATAACTTCATTGATAATATTTAGTGATTACAACAAGTTCTAGGTATGAACAAGATGTCCACAATCTAGGTACAAATACATGCTAACTCAATTACATCGAGGGGCCAGCAACAAATATCTCTCTAAACACCAAAATACAGAATTCGCAGATAATTCAGTCTATGGCGTAACTGAAGCCATCCATAATCATGTCCCTTCTTGTATGTTTCCAATATTATGGGTTGGTTATAGGATGAATTATGTCTTGCATTCGAATCTTCATACTTGCTTTCGAAAGTAAACTATATATTTATTTATATATCCAACTTATGTTTAAAAAATAAATAGAAAGACAACTGTAATAAGCATATTTAAACCAAACAAACAGTATACATAAATTTAAGCACCTCCAAATGCCTCCTTAGCCTGTGGATGCTTGCATTTATCAGGGTGAACCATTAAGGATAACTGTAAGAAATTCAAACACAAAAATGCGTCATCAGTAATAGAATCACTAGTAAGAAACCACCAACAAATGGCCATACCATTTTGATTTGAAGGAGGGAATTACCTTACGATACTGCCTTTTAACATCTTCTGGGGATGCATCAAAGGGTAAGTTAAGATACTCAAAAGGATTTAACTTGAAGCAGGAGAGGATCCTACATATTTTTTGAAACGCACAGAAAAAGTTGATTAGATATTTGTGACAGGCCTAAAAATGTAATTGTGTGTGTGCGCATACTCTCATGAACTGACACCACCAGATAATTCACATAGTTGATCAATTAGATGGCCAACAACCAATAAAACTATATCGGAAAATCAAAAGGAAAAAAAGACTAGCAAAAAAAATCCAAGAATGTGGACCGCCTACCAATGCCCTTTCTACACAAAAAAAAAATAAAAAAATAAAAAAAGTCAGCCCATTAGCATTTTTTATGTTCTTCAAACTTTCTCTGCCATGAAGTGTCTCCCTAATGCCATTCTCCATCCCTACCATATCTTGCAATTTCTAAACAAAGGTTCTCGAATGGGCAAACCACCGAGCATTACTCCCTCCTATAAGTTATAACTACATGAACCAACCAACCTCTCAAACTATCCATCCCTTTATAAGTTATAAAAAGAAAAGATCATTCTATTTTGTCATTCGACATTCCAAATACAAATTGCGTTACCATCCTTTAGGGAGAAAAAAGAAGACTCACAAACACAAGTCTCATTTGCTAATTCCGAAATATTAAACTCCACCGATATCAATCCTCCCCTCACAATTTGCACACTTGCCTAAAATTATATTCGGCAAAACGCTCAGCTACCTATGACCCATTATTCCTTTCTCCAAGAATAGTACACAGCCAAACCAGTTATACATACTGAAACCAATTCAATTTGAATCAGGGCAGAACAAATTGCAACGAAGGGAATTACAATCAGGGTTCCATTCAATTGCGCAATATGATAAATAACCCTATCGCCCGAAACCCTAGTTAATACAATTAAATTGTCACCAAATCCACATACATATATACATGCACAGAGAGAGAGAGAGAGAGAGAGAGAGAGAGAGAGAGAGAGAGAGACCTGAGGACTTGGTTGTCCCGCTCAACTTCACTAACTTCGGCGAAGAAGTTCTTGAGAAGCAAATCGTCGTCCATGGATGTCTCTCTAAAGCTTCGCCTCGGAGATTGAAATCTCAAGAATAGCCTTTTCAATCTTCCTTCCTCCACTGCCAAACTCTGCTTTTGATTTTAATCGGGTGAGTTGACTCGGCCACCTGCCCAACTCCGTACAAGATGGGCCGGCTCCTGAGGATGAATTGAACCGGTTAGAAATCTCGGCCCATTTATCTAACGGGTCAGATATCTTCAACTTATTTACGATATTGTCGGTCTGTCACTGCCTCTTGTCCTTGTCCTTGTGATTAATGAAACTTCATCAGGTGGAAATACTGAGAGCAAGTCGAGCCAACTATTCCTCTGTGGTTAAAACGACATTCTTTTGCACAAATTACTTGTTAAAGTTCGTGGAGAACTAACTTGTCTTTGTTTAATTTATAGTCTAAAATGCTTGAAGCATGATAATTGGTTGCGCTAGAATTCTATAATATAAACAAATGAATTTGTTAAATAACATACCTTGCAAAATTAACCAACTCCGGATCAACGTTTTGTTCCTATGAATCGTTGCACGAACCCCACAAACTTGCTAAAGTAGCGATCATTAAATCTCATCTTTTTGACATAGACTTCAGTCCAAAGGGTATAAGAGTGGGAGCACATAGACTCACACAATGACTTGAAGTAGCGATCAATTCGTCACTCCCACTATCAGTCGCAACTAGCACATACAATACGAAACATATGCTATGGTGTATTCTTAATTTAATGAGCGTGTCACATGTCCACTGGATATACACCATACAAATCTTAGTCTAAGCGCTAACAAATGCCTAACTCGAGCACTCAGCCTAGTCGCCCTCTCGGCGCCTACCTAATTACACACGTTCATCATCTTGATAAGCTTTAACATGGAAACATGGATTCCAAATGAAAAAATCTTCATGTGTCCATCCTTTGCTAGGTTTTATCTTATGCACTTCCAAGGCAACAGTATTTATATCTAGTGTATGTTTTGTACGTGAAATCATACACATGTCATATCTCGCACTCCAATATGTTTCAGACACATATGTCTCATCTCACTACCTCAGTGCCCGGGCGAATCGTTTCGCGTGAGTGAAACCGATTGTAACTTGGTAACATTCATACAAATATGTGTCATAACGTTCCATGAAAAACATCAATCCCAATGAGTTCTTGCAACTCTTATCTCTAGAAGTGTGACATATCACAACTATCACTAGAGTTACATCTAAGGACTCTACATTTCTGCAATTGCAAGTAATCATGTACATATTTTGGTTTCCTCCAACTAGGGACTTATTTGCATAAATTAGGACAGACTCACACAACCTCTCTAGTTAATGCAAAACACCTTCAAATTAGTTCCATGTCGAGATATTCATCCCCTATGAGGCTACTCGTGAGTGTACATGGCTGAAAGCCATTGTGTCGAGCATATTCGAAGCACTTGTGGATTGTCATCTATCGTTGACATCCCAATAGTGATATTTGAGAATAATTTTGCATGTATGGACCAGATTCATAAAGAACACAACAAGGGAGACCATATCAAGCACATTGCGCCAAAATTCATCTCATCAACAACAAGAGCATCAGAAGATCAAATCAAGCAAACGTTCCCATGACAACCTTGTTGATCTTCACCGAGTCATTACCAAAGTCCAATTTTCTCAAGCTTGTCCGAGAAATTAGAATTCTTAAATTGTCAGAATTACACCGCTTGCAATCTAATTAAGGAGTTTTGTCGAATTCAGGGGGAGTATCTGATAGATACCTAGTTGACCGTAATGTACTTTTTTTTCCTTTGTTCAAGAGCATGCCGTACTAAGTTCTGCTAACATGACAAGGTTTTAATGAGACACCTATCTTAGGTTGGTCATACCTTGATGCGAGCGTTAATCACCACTTGTTTTCTTCAAGCATTGACTTTGCACTTTTCACCTTTTTCTCGAGAGCATGCCGTTCTAAGTTCTACTAACATGACAAGGTTTTAATGAGACACCTATCTTAGGTTGGTCATACCTTGATGCGAGCGTTAATCACCACTTGTTTTCTTCAAGCATTGACTTTGCACTTTTCACCTTTTTCTCGGGGACTTTGGGTTTTATCTTGTGAGTTTATGTTTCCTTAATGCAACCTTACTCTAGATTCACGTGTGTAACTGCCTACGCCGATTGAAGACTTCAACAATCATTCGAAAAGACTTGAAGCGACTACATCTTCTCCCCTTGCTTGCCAAACGCATCGCATCCGCTAGTTGTCAAGCTATAAAAATACAAGGCTGGGATTTGTTTGTTTTGGGGCATGCATACGCAGAGAAAAGTAGGCTCTCCGAAACCTTAAGTTTTCCACCAGTTACATAATTTTACATCTTACAAGGTTGCGGGAAAGCGTAGCTGATCGTCAGGAAAAGAAACTAGAAAGATGCACAACATTTTACGACCAAAACTTCACAATGCATGTGTCGGATATCACACAATGTTACATTGTACAAAACAGAGATGAAATATTACACAAAGCAATACCTCTATGATACAATGACGGACCGACGCTCACAAAGATTCTAAACATTTCATATATCTCACCACCACAAATAGACCCCGTGTCCTCTTCAAACGGAAATTAATAAACCTAAAACGAGGAATAAAACAATATATAATCAGAAGAATACTCAACACTACCAATCCACGGGAAGAACGAAGACGATTTCTACCTGCCTGTAGCTCAATTTACAAAGGGTGGGTTGACCTGAACCGCAACTTTTAGCACATCAAACAAAGTAAAACCTACCCGCCGAACGCAACCTGCTTCTTCAACTCTGTATCTTCTCATCATCTCATGGCCTACCAATTGTGTAAAGTAAACCAAAATTTCAGAAAGCCTTCAAACTTGTTATCTGGAAAAAAGATCACAAGTTTTGGAACTTCTTGTATATGGCATCATGCTCTATACACCACGAGAAACCCCATGTGGAAGAACAGGGGAACTTCTTGTATTTGACATCATGCTCTATACAGCACTAGTAATCCCATGTGGAAGAACGAGGCCAGAATGAATATGATATGACGAAGCAATTCAGAATAATCAACTATATCCAAGCAAGGGAACCCCGATCATTAGCTACTTGGGGACGGCCTCTAGTCGGTGTTGGAGGTCTGTTTGCATTCAATTCCTGGTTTCATAACAAGCCAATTCAAACAAAGATTACCACCAAAACAATGACTACATGTTCCGATGGGAAAGGGGAAGCAAAAAATTTCCAGTATGAGTATGCACATACATACATTTATATATTATACAATAAATATACAGAGGTACACACATGCACGCACTCATGCGCGCACACGTACAAAGAGAGATTCAACAATAAGGTTCTCATTCAAACCTTTGGAGTTACAAGTTATAACTACAGATCTAAACATGAAATAAGAAATAAACATCAGTACCTGCATCCATGTGTCTTCAATATGGCGTTCCGGTGAAGTTTCTGGTGATGAAATTGCTGGTGGTAGGGGATGAATGAGTTTTGGAACCACCACAAGATCCCTACCCAAGACTAGGATTGCCCCTGCATTATTGGCCGTACCTGTTGAGAGCGGTAAGAGCAAACATGAGATGTTTGGTTGACAGTGGTGAAGGCCAAACCTGAGATGTCTTTTGAGGATCTCAAAGCTGCATAAATAGAAAAGGGGACAAGTACATACCACAATAATTGGTAGCAGAGAAAAGTGTAATCAGATGCCCCTGGGCAAAACGCTCAAATCCATCCATTACACATTCATGTGCACGTACAATCAACTGAAGATCATTGTTATTGCAGAATTCCATGACACGATCAGGCTGCAACATCAACACACTTTAGATGGCATACAAACAGATATAAAAAACAAAAAATACCAGCTAACGCTATACAATTTTACGATCCCAGTACTTTACAAAATAAGAACTCATTGAAGTTAACATAAACTGAAAAAGCCTCAACGGGCATCAAGCAAGATGAATTACTGAACAATGAATGTTTGACTCCATGTTCCATGCAGAATGTCACATTCAACTATTTACAACACGTATATAGAAAATACCAATTCCTATTTACAAGACACGTACATAGAAAATACCAATTCCATTGCTTCAAGGTTCTGTTCGTTTTGTGGCATGGAATTCTAGAGTAACGTACATCTCGGAATGGAATTTTCTAGAAATAAAGAGAACAAAATACTTCCGATTCTCAGATTTTGGAAATGGTTTTATCAGGACACCAACTGAAACAATATTAACAATTTTGCATGCTACTATATATTTCAACCTTTTATATAAAAAAGTCATCCTGATCAACAAATTGTGACAATACTACAAATGCAACTTTGTTTGTAAACAATCTAGATTGCATCTATGTACGATATCCCACATCCCATTTAGGACCATTAACTTTGCTAAAAAAATAGTACTGTACAGTATTAACAAAATCATTTCCTAAAAAAGTCAGCACTTGATAACCAACAATCTTTTTGCAGGATATCCATTTTTTATTAATGAACAGATATTCATCGATATTGGCGAAAATGCATTAATAACATGTGAGTATGTTTAGTGCGCGAATGTACCCATTGATGATGACACATCCGGACTACTTGATGACAAATGTACTAATTTAGATACCTTTAATTTCTATAACATTATAGGTAATGTGAAATAACGGAAGACAAAATTTAAAATTACTCACCCCAAATGTAACCAACCCAGGACCCCTAGCATTTGGTCTTAAACCTTCCACACTGTCATTTTCTGTTGGGTCAGACCTAGAGAGAATCATATGACAACATCATTGACCAATCAACATAAAGATAATTATAAAATGTATCAACATAGACATGCACTGACCATAACAAATCCATAAGCACAATGGAGCCAGCTTCCATTGTAATAGGACGCTGGAGATTCTCAATCTGTTCCACATGATTTATAGACCGACCAATACCACCATGCATACAAATGATTTTCTTTTCAATCAGAGCTGCTAGCGGAAGCCAATTAAACAAACGGTTTATTCGATGCCATGCCCAAATTCCATCTCTCTCACCCTGCTCATCAAGCCATTCAGTCATTGACCACCAGAGATTACAAATAAAATCACAGATATGATGTAGTTAAAATACAGTACCATTCGTTCAATGCATTCAATCCGAAAGCCAAATAGAGCATTGATATCTGCAGCTTCATGGTTGCCACGAATTAAATGTACATTCTGGGGATACTCAACCTGCAATATTGACCATTTTTTCACAAACATTGCATTAGCATAGAAATACTCATACAGCAATCACAGAGAGAGATAAGCATCAAGTGAGAAAACTGGAACAGAACAAAAAGGCAGCTAAAATGTACCTTCAAAGCAAGCAGAAGAGTAATGGTTTCCAAGCTATGTTGGCCCCGGTCAACATAATCTCCTAAGAAGAGATAGTCGATATATCTGATTTTTGTCCATATAAAATCAGCGTAAATGTAAGAAACATAAAACTCTGTATTGTAGAAGATGTACAATGAAATATTTATAACTATATTATACAAGATGTATAAAGGTCAAAACCTTTATGTGAATACTGAACGGCAAAACTTACAACAAAATATAACTCAAACAAATAAACCGAGCATTAGTAGATGGAGCCTGGAACAATTTGCATAGTCACCTATAGAATCCGCCTTCCATTACAAATGCAAAAGAGATTTCACTTAATTTAACCTAAATGTTCCCGCGTTCTATAAACCAAAAAAGAAATTCACACTAGGACTGGATTGGAAGTTTACGCATGACTTATTTGTTGCCATGCTGTCATCTTAGGATATAACTATATGGTTAAACTATTAAGATATAACTATCAATGTAATATCATGGGGTGCAGAGACAGACCCCTTAACATATGTAATTCAATATTTCAATATTGAACCGTATAAACCAAGTTGGTTAGTGGTGCGTTAAGTAAAGCCACTTACGCAATATCCCCAGCCGTTGAAGGTGAACCATACTCATCAAAAAGGCGCATGAGATCACCAAACTGCCCATGTAAATCACCAAATATCTTGATAGGAGCCCTAAGCTGTAAGACGCTTGGTTCACTAGAGAATATTCGCTCAGCACTGTCACAAAGATCTGCTATTTCATTACAATCTAAGAAAAATTGCCGACGAACCGGAGGCTTCCACCCACGAGGCTTTAAAAGATGTGCCACTACCTGATAAGAATAGAGAAAATTTATTGATTATGAACCCCAATAAACTTTGTAAGTAGACATTACATATGCTGGATGACATTCGTAATACCAAGTGTTAGGGTCACCGCATTTGTAGGATAATAATAGGTAGAAAGAAGTATCCAGGACACTGGATAAGAATTGAATACACGAATCATGGTTCAACTATGTCTGGACTCAGGATGGCGAATGGTTCGACTATGTCAGGATGAGGATTGGTACGACCATGTGAGGATGAGAATGTATAATCGTCTTAATCTTTTATAAGTGAACAACCAAGCACAGGATAAGAGAAACTCTTAATTGAGCTTTATATCTCTTCATGGTACAGGGGCAGCATAAATAAAACAACGATGAATAATTTGAAAATGAAATTAAAGGCAACAGATAGACACAGATGTGAAAGCAACGATATGACTTTAAAGTGGCCTCCAATACTCTATAGTTGGTTGCATTAGCATGCTTGATATTCTAACTCACAGATGCATCTACCTTAGGTTTCCAGAATGATGACAAGTGCAAAAATGCATTCACACTATTGAATACAATTTAGGGTACCACTTAGGAACTTGTTCTTTTATTTAATTATCTTTCTATTTTCTATGATACAATTAGCATTAATCAGGTGGACAAGGAAGAAGTTAGCAAACTTTACCCATCAACAGTTGAGCATGGACATTTGCTTTTATTAGATGTACTAATGAAATATGGCAATTTTAGGGAGGCAAGACTGTCACATAACGTCTTCTACCTTTTTGGGCACACTATTAATGGACATCTGTCGATCTAACAATTTCCTTGCTGCAGTAGCACTCTCTGGAGTCCCATAACTAACCCGCCTGCCTTCATTTTCAAATTGATCAATTGAAAGTTGCCTCACCATGCCACCCAAAGCTCCACCAGTCTCTGCAGCTACAACAACCTGGCAAAGCATGTAAGAAACATTAAGAACAGATCTACACAGGTTTAAAACTTCTTGCCACACAGAAGTTGCCTCATAAAATTTAATACTGACAGCTCTATGATGCAGTCGCACTCCAGCGGAAGGAATATTATTTGACCCAGCAGAATCAGGCTTGATCAAGGTAGATATCTGCTTCCCACTGGGGGTAGCCTCTGAACCACGATCTCTATCAGGTAGTTCAACTTCTCCATTAACTTGTCGTGCCTTGGCAGCAGCCAAAGTGGCACTGATTGCCTCAGCTTCTGCTGCTGATGCTTCAACTAAGTACTCTACACCTTTGCTAATTCTCCTACACAACAATCACTCTTTAATATAACAAGTACTATGTGACTTCAAAACCTGGAATCAAAATGTACACACAACGACTAGCTTACCGGGTTCCCTGGAGCAAAGCATTTTCAGTACTTATATCAGTATACATGTCACCATTTACTGGGGGGGCAACTGGATTTCCCAGCACAACAGCACCATCAGGGGCTGCTTCGGGCAACTGCCTTGCTCTGTCATCAATGAATCCATACCTTCCAGGTAAACGGCCTTGTCCAGATTGAGCAGCTGCAGCTGCAGCATGCGAAGCTGCAGTTGTTGTTTCAGCAGCAGCCAAATCTTCCGCAACAAGTAGGTCATCAAGCAGCACTCCTATAGCATAAAAGAATAACGCAATTATAAGTTCAGAATGATAAAACTGTAAGTTAACTCCAGAATCCATGGTATAAAATCTTTCAAAAACCATCAAAATTACAGCTCCTAAAATCCTTCATAAATTTCTACATTGCTGCACCTACAGTATCCTTGCCTGTTGTCTTACCCTAGTTTACTCATCCACTAAAGACAAATATAACCCAAAAAAGAGAGTTCGAAAGCTAAATTAACTAATAAACCAACCATTGAGACCTCAACTTTGAAATAATCATATATGTATCAGAAACATAACCATGTACTGGAAACGTCAACCTCAAGAAACAAAAGAAGTCTATTATTCTCTAAACATGTCGATTCATGGTGCAAAATATTTTAGTGACTGCAAGTTGCAACCTACATTCCATCGTCACAAAGTGTATGCATTATACAACAATTAAATGATTGCTGGATTCACTTCATTGAATTACTGAAACAGGAAAAAACTGCAGCATGACTGAAAATAATACGTTCATTTCTTACCGCCACGTAGACCACCATATATAAAGATCAAGTCACCAACCGCTGCAGCTGCATGCCTGCAACGCCTTGTCAGCTCAACTGCAGCATCCCCACCGGCTGCATCAGCACTGTATCTACCTGTCCTTGGACTAGTAACCACAGATTTTGTATCACACCAAACTCCTGCTGCAGTATCCAACACTGCACATAAGAACATAGAAACTTGTAAGAACACTTATGGTGTTTTTCCAACTCATGATGAGTTGCCCTAAGTCTATTAGGAAACAAAGTCTTAGAGGAATAAATTGTTTTCCCAATTGGAGTTGGTTTCTCAATTGGAGAAGGATTCCGATTCCAATTAGGATTAGTAATCCTTATTGAAGAAGACCTTTATTATGTCAATATAACAGGGCTATTGAACTAGTTTTGAATTAGAGCAAAACAGTATATTGTATACCACTCCAGGAGTTAAGAGTGAGATAATATTGTAAGTGTAAAGTGTGTGCAAGAGAAAAGATAAGAGTGTATTTCTTGTTCTTGGTCTTTCAGGTTTTTCGTCACGCCTCAATTCTAGAGACTTGGAAGGATAATTTGTTGTACTCATTATTGGTATAGTGAAAGATTGTTGCTGCTGCCTCGTGAATGTAGGCACAAATAGCAGAACCACTTTAATTCTTAGTGTTATTTTTCTTGGTTATTTTGTTTTCAATTTCCTAGTTGTTCTATTTTTTTTCTATTCTTAAACGTGATATCCACAGGGGGTATCAGGGCCTCGTTTAGCTTATATCCGTTTAGAATGGAGGGTGCGATTAGCACCATGATGAAACTCACCCGCTCCAACTTGGTTACGTGGAAATCACGAACGGAGGACATGCTTTATTGAAGGTGTTAAGAGCAAGCCACCAAGAATGTCCAGTGCTGATTGGACCAAGATGCAGATGAGCGATGGTTTCTGGCAAAGAAGTATATAATTGCTTTTGCTAATGGAGTGGAGAGTCCTGGTCAGCGAGAGCCTGGTCAAGAGAAGTCTGATCAAGGGGAGTCTGGTCATGAGTAGTTCCATCAAGGGGAGTTTGGTCATGAATAGTTCGATCAGGGGGAGCCTAGTTATGAGAAGTTCGATCAGGAGGAGCCTGGTAATGAGAAGTTTGATCAATGGGAGTCTGATCAAGAGGAGCTTGATCAAGAGAAGTTCGATCATGGGGAGTTTGGTCATGAATAGTACAATCAAGGGGAGCCTAACTATGAGAAGTTCGATCAATGGGAGTTTGATCAAGAGGAGCAATCCTATTCTGGTATGCCTTCCTCATGGTTTGGAGGGGGAGATTGTTGGGCTTTTACGGCTCATGATGAGTTGTCCTAAGTCTTTTAGGAGTTATAGTATTAGAGGATTAAATTGTTTTCCCAATTACAATTGTTTTTCCAATTTGAGAAAGATTTGTAACTAGATTCCATTAGGATTAGTAATCCTTATTGAAGACCTTTGTTACGTCTATATAAAGGGGGCACTAGTTTTGAATTGGACAATAAGTTGTATACCACTGAAGGAGTTGAGTGAGTGGGTATTGTAAGGGCAAAGTGAATTCAAGAGAAAAGAATAGAGATAAGAGTGTATTTCTTGTTCTTATTTTTTCAGGTTTTCGGAGACTTCGCAAGATAATTCGTTGTCTCATTATTGATATGGTGAAAGATTGTTGTTGTTGCCCTGTGGATGTAGGCACATATAGCCGAACCACGTTAATTATTGGTGTTATTTGTCTTGGTTATTTTGTTTTTGATTTCCAAGTTTGTTCTATTATTTGCACTCTTAAACGCGATATTCACAACATGAAGAACCTCTTGGAAGCATAAATATTTCAACACCAACACACAACAACAAAACTTAGGCTACCAATGTAATTGTTTCTCCAAGAAGCATAGTTAATCTACCAAATTTTACACGTTGATGTGGTAAGGATCAATTATTTTAAGAACTGGAATAAAAGCCACAGCAGTCTCATTTGAATTGCTTCAGACATTGAAAACAAAACTAAAGATCATAAGATCTCAATATTTGCTTGAAGCATAATACAAGAGGATCAGGCACAATGTAGTTATCCTGGAGAGTGAGGGAGAGAAAAACTAAAATACATCTACCAGAAACTACTGGAAGAAGTTAACGATTTGGCACCTCTCGAAAAGCATCCCCCACTATACATGACCTAACAGTAAACTTTCACCAACCCCAAGAGATTAAAAAAAACAACCAGCTTACCTCCATCACATCCTACAAAAGCATATTTCTCATTGTATTTACTAGAGAACCAGTTAATGTTGAGTCCAGAAACTAAAATCTATTTTGAAAAACACTTAATTGAACCATATATCTTAACTTTACAATGACAAGAATATGCAAGTGTTTGCATAACCATATGTAAACTTTACTTTGAATTTTGATTTCATGTTATGGAGTAGCAATAATTTAGTCAACGCCTATCCATTCTAGGGTAAGAAACCCACAAGACCTTCTAGGGTAAGAAACCCACAACACCTGCCAAGGCTCACTTGAGAAAACTTATGAAGGTACTGTTTCCAGGGCTGTGACTCAAGGGTCTAAACCATTCAGTTCTTAGATTCTCTTTCAAGGATCATCCATGCCAAAAACTGGAGAGAGCCTACATTCCATATAATGCTTGTAAAAACATAAATAAATACCTGCAACACTTGATGAATCTTCAACCATGCGGCCACCACCAAGGGCCCCTCCAGAAACATGCAGACGTGCATTAACAAAGACCTAGTATCATAATATATGCTAGTTTTAGGAAATTGAATTCAAATAAGGAAAATGGGAATTAAAAATAACAGATGCAAAAACCCACTGCTGCATGTTGATATCTTGAAGAAGGTGAAACACCAGGAGCAATTGCCCATTCCCAACGGCCATCCCTATGTTTGGCAAGACCATATGCGCTTGCCAATGGCTGCAAACAGAAGAAACCAAAAGAAAACTTAACCCAGAATTACATGACAAAGCTGCTTTTTCTTCAAGCAAACATTACAAAGCTGTTACTAATATTGGAAACACATGTGCTTCGCAAAATTTGAAGAGGGAGGGGAGTCAACAACATTCAGACACAAGCTAAATAAACAAACTGTAAAGACAAATAGAAGTAATCTGTGCCACAAACGCCATAACCCCACCACCCTGTCCTTCCCACACACCAAAATAAGACTTCTGATTACATTGATATGCCAATCCTTGAGTCACCAATAAGCTACGGGTAACTTTTGTTTTCAGTTAAGTAGTTTCCTAACAAATATCAAAATCACATTTTTTTTAGAAAGATTAGATACATATGCGAAGGGGTAACTGTTCCACAGTTTTTCAAAATGTGCGTGACAAAGTGCAAATACAATCTGGAGCCATCCAGCAATCAATATAAAAATAATAAAATCCCTGAAATGCTACTATGATACTATCACATTCATCCTTCACAAAAACAAACCGCCCAAAAAATTACACTGTTTGACTCACCACACTATTTGCATCCCTCCCTCCGCAGAGGAGGAGAAGACCATCAGACCTTGCACTTGCAGTTGCATACCTGGCCATATACAAAGAGTAAGATAAGATATCGACATTGCAATATCATCAACAAAAAACATGGTAATTATGCAATTGAAAATTAACCACGACAATTCAATAGCAAGTCAAAGATGCATAACTTCTAAAGAATAAATTATTCACTGTAGTATCATATTGATTACTAGTGACACGGTATTTATGGTAAGAAATGCAAAGAATGAATCAATGAAACAATTACCAGCAGTTTCTAGGTAACGTTCTCTGAAGCAACAGTTCAGATTTATTCTTTTATTTTCTTCATTTTTTACATCACTATTAAGGATCACATGCTTTAAGATGAACTGTCAAGGGTCCTGTAGAGGTGGCTTTACCCCATGGTGTCCACTCATAAAGTAAATTCTATTGAACATACTATATCACGTGGGAAAAAGAATTAAAAAGAAAAACCAACTTCCCGGCAACTAAAAGTAGCAAATGTCATATACTCATTTCTACATATTCTCTTTTTATTTGAGAAGGATGTCTACACATTCTCTCACTAGTAGAACTAAAATCAGTACCCAAACACTCGCATAAGTCCATGAAATATATGCCTCTAACAGTAAAATCTATTGGCATATACAACTGAAAAATAGGGAGAACACAACTTAAGTATGAAGCCAATACCCAAAACTAAAAGAATACATATTCATTTTAATATCCAAGCATGTGACCTTTTATATAAATACCAAAATGGTGAGACACGTGCATGTATATATGTTATAATAAGAATTTGAATGTCATGAATGCTAACGAGGGAAAGCGTGAAAGATTTACATGCATGGTGGTGGACCCTCCCCCTCTGGTTCCAACTTACGCCATTCGTAAGGTTTGGCAGCTGTGTCGAGAGCCCAAACATCAGCTAATGGCCGTTTTCCTGAAAACCACACACCAATTCCCCTTCTCTCAATATTTGTAAAAACTTAAGCATGTAGCTTCTTTCTTCCCTTTACTTCAATGCAGAAAAGATAGTAAGATAGACCCTGAAGTGACTCACCATCATTCCCACCAATTGCCATAAGATATCTTTGCCCCACTAATGCCATCACATGTCCATACCGTGGCCCAGGTCCAGGGCCTTGAACAACAACCCTATAGTAAAATTAGCTCCACTTGGTTAAAAGTCCCACAATAAGTTTTTTTAAAGAAAGCAGCCAATTCAAGTATAACCTGTGCCATCGAGGCCGTTGCTGTGTGAGGTCAAGAACATGAAGATCCTCAGCAGACAAACCAGCAGGACCAATTCCACCCTGTATTGATATCAAAGATTCCATTAGGAAAGTAATTATGCAATGAATAGAAAAATTCTAAAACGGCAGCGACTTGGGAATCATAGCTTGAGAGATAAAATATTGAGTGCTGACCTGAATAACCACCATAGTTCCTACAGCTGTTGCTACATGTGCAGCCCTTGGGGTGGGAGGTTCTCCAAAGGGTGTGATCCTACAATGCATGTCATAACAATGTACCCACTAAAGTAAACACAGAGGATAAATACAAAATAGGGACAGCCACAGGCTGATAAGACACACGATATTTATTCCTAGGTTTACCTAGACCATTTATTTGTTAGCACATCATAACAATGCACGTCTGCGGTGGCACCTGCAAGTCCTGAAATCAAGAACAAACAAGTGTCTTACAACAACAACAACAACAAAGCCTTTTTCCCACTAAGTGTCTTAAATTAGAATTATTTAAAATGAAATGAATCAGTATTCTTGTGAGATTCACTACAAGCACAAGCATTAATCAAGATGTAGATTAGGCCCCATGGTAATTTGGACCGCTGAATATATCAGAAAGACCAACAACTTGAATGGCTCAAACATCCCCACAGAAGCCAGCACCTTCACACCATAAATAAATGCTAGCTGGCCCCTAGAAGCTCAAAGCAGAATCCAAACTATGGATGCTAAAAAAATAACCATTAGAGGGCAGGGATTTAGACGCAATTTGAAAACAACAAACACAGAGATTTGAAGCTCCAATGGCATTAGATGCCACTTGATCACTTTTAGTTCAAAAGAGAGTAAGTTTCTGAACCATAGCAATGACAAAAAGAAGAAAATTACATGCATATTTGTTGGGATACAACAAAACAACCAACCACTAAAATCACTTGCTATAACTATCGCAAATTTGCATAAAACAAAATGAATTTATCAAGTATCAATAAGAGCTGGGCAAAGATAAAGCTTTCTAAATTTCTTTTCAATCAGAAACCTTCTAGGCACCGAAATTTAACTCTAATTACACGTAACTTTTTTCTTCCCAGAACTGTAAGACAGTGCTTGTATCATTAACAATATGGGAGCACACAGATAGAGAGCCTAAGGTTAAAGAACCTGAACATAACAAGGACTTTTCACAGACAATTTACATAACTACAACTTAGAATTCCACCGCGCAGCATATCATAACCATATCATAGATGTAAACATCAAAGAAGAACAAAAAACCGCAATCTGAAACTAACAAAGCGAGGTTGATAGACTACTTATATCATAACAGAACCATTACTATTAGGGTTTCCATTCATAGAAGCTCAAAGACGCAAACATCATAGAAGCTCAAAAGACGAAGCTACCCAAGCAAACAAAGAAAATAACATACTTATGCCAGCACTTCCAGCTGATGATGGAGTCCCTGAAGCAGCCGAATTGCCCTCAAGAGCTGTGGCACCCCCAAATAAAATCAACCTGGGGCCAATGTAGCCCGGCGTGCCCTCCTCTCCCACGGCCGCCACCGCAGTCAACGTGTGGCCACACCTGGGCCCTGGCCCGTCTTCTTTTTTCTCTAAAATTGCATTGACCACCGAGTATGTTGGAGCGTGCCTGGGCCCGGCCACCGGAGTCTGCTGTGCCTGTGGAGCCGCCGCCGCCGTTGCCGTCTGAGGCTGCTGCGGCGGAGATCCAGTTCCCGGTTGCGCCTGCTCGCCTAGTTGTTGCTCCCCTTCCACTGCGGCCGGTGACGACGTCGTACTGTGGTTTGGTACTGCCGGATCGTGATCGGTCTCCGGCACCATCGACGATGAGTCCACATCCATTGCTTTAGCCTTCGATTCGCGCCCTAATTTCAAGATCGGAACTAGAATTCCCACGAATTTGCATTCCTAACCAACATTTCGATCCAGTTCCCGCGATCCCAGACCTCACCTTGCAAAAAAATCCTGGATATTCACACCCGAAACCCTAGCTCGGATCCTCAGCTTCTGGAAATCCGGAAAAAGGGGAAAATTCCGCCAAATTTTCTTGAGAAAATAATTTCTAGGTTTTAATCTCTCTCTCTAGCGGAGGGAAGAATAAGGAAAGGGTAAGGACTAAGGAGGAGGAATAGAGATTGAAAGAAACGGGACGGAGACAATCTCAAAGCCCCAACAAACACAAAACCATTTCAATCTTCTCTCTCCACCAATCGCTGCCCTTTCTCTCTCTAAAAAAAAATTAATGCAAGTGCTTGTAATGTTTCAACCTTTTCTTCTAGATTTTTAATATTTGCCATGCCTTCATAATTCAAGTTCCGCTTCGAGGTGTTTTAATGGTATTCGCACAATCATTAAATTTTTTGTAGTCATTATTACTAATTTATTTTTCTTATCATGTTATATTCTCAAGTTTGTGTTTAATCATGTTTTTTATGCAAATGAATTCTCATTTTTTTAAATAAATGGAGATTAGGTGTGGGCTCACTTCACATTGAAATTTAACGATGCGAATTGTTTATTTTGTTAGTCTATATTCATAAATCATCTTTGCAAAAATTCAATTCAATTCGAAACCATTTACTTATTTAATTATCAAGAACAAATTTCATTAGATGTCTTAAATATTCGTTCATTTCTTTGAACCTAATTAGATGTTTTAAATATTTCCGATTTGACTAATATTTTGCAGAATAATTTATAAGGTACAACTTAAAAAATAAACTGCTCGAATCGTTAGAGTTCAATGTCTTGTGAACTCCACAACTAATCCCAATTTTTATAAAAAATTGGAAAACTCTTTCCTTAAAGGCTTCCAATGTTTAATAACAACTTTATGCAATATTTTTCAAACATTTCAATCCAATACTTACCTATTATTTTATTTCAATGTCATATATTTTTTTTGAAAATCTGTTAAGTTACCGTTAGATGATGACATGACAACAATGAGTTCTGTTTTTATGTTGAGATGACTGGCAAACTTGTGCCACATGACCAAATAAAAAATATTTTCCATTAATATTTTTTAAAAATAAAAATTTAGTTAGGATATTAAAATATTAAAATAATTAATAAAAGAAAAGTTATAAAACAACTACAACCATATTTTCCCCACCCACAGCGCAACCACCCCTTTCCCCATCACCGCCACACCTTTATTTCATTTGGATCGACAAATTCCTTAAATCACAGGGCACCACTAAAGGCTAAGTCCTGAGCTGAACATGCTCCTTAACCCTAAACCATTTTTATAATAAAAAATTATTTTGTAATTTATTATCCACGTGGCACAAATTTTGCAGGGACCATGACGGCCGTGTAGGCATATAACGAAGAAACTAATGAAAACTGTAACAAATGTATGAAATTGAAATGAAAAAATAAATCAATGTAAGGGATTTAAGTTTACAACCACTGTTTTAAAAATCTCTGCATAGTGCCATCTAGATGCTAGGCAATTAACCACCACCCCGATTAATCCCTAGGAATTTGAAAATTAAGAAATGGCTCATGAACCTGCTTAGGCATATGCCTAGCTCACCTAGGTGCCTGGTTAGAGTGCCTAGACCTGCTTAGGTCGCGACTCTCATTTAGACAAAAAATCAATAACTTTCATCTTACATTTTTTTTCTTCAATAATATGTAGAAGGTTTGTTAAAAACTTCAATGAACACTTATTATATATTTGTTCCTCATGTTTTCAGTATGTTCTAATACTTTATAAACTATCTGTCATTTTATTTTGTAATTATGTATCTCAATACATATTTATTCAAATCTATTAGATACTTATTTATACAATAGATAATAAATTTACTCAAATATGTTTAGGCTCCGCTTAGCCACCTAGGCCGTGGATCCCAGCCAGCCAAATGACAAGGCTCCAATGAATAATACTTGTGTTGAATATTCTCTCATATGAACTCAATAAAACATTCTCTAATATCTAGGGCACTATGATTATGTGCGTGATGAAAAATGATTAAACAACTATTGGGAAGCTTCCCTATTATAGAAATTGAAAAGTCTTTTTGAAAAATATATGACTATTCATGAATAGTCACAAGTTATAGTTGTTCATTTGAATTTCATATTAGTATAGACACATATTTGCACCAAAAGACACCACTTCTAATTTTCATTCAATTAATAAATCATGTTATAATAATACTGTTAAATTTTTCAACCGGTAGTCCGAAGACATATTCGAGGATCCTGACACGAGGTTCTGACCAGGTCCATGGCCAATAGCTTGTGTTAAGCAAACGGGTCCAAGATGATATCTTCTAGCTATCGGGTATAGATATTAAGTACAATTCATGTTTTGGTGACATAGAATTGGTGAATGAGAAAGGGAAGCAAAAAATTTGAACATAAAAAAAACTAAAATTTGAAAGTTACTTTTATGAGTTTTCAAAATTTGACTTGATTTTGAAATCCATTTCAAACCAAAAGAAATTAGTTTTTAGTCTGACAAACAAGTGAAAACTAAAAACGAAATGATTATCAAGTAGTTCCTAAATAAATACAATTTAGACTAATTTTAAAGTTAATTTATACTAAATGTTTATAAATGATGATTTTAAATCAAATATAGGCAAGTTAGGGTGAGCTTTAGAGGAATTGGGTAAGGCCATACTATAAACCCTTGTGATAGCCCTACCCAACAACAGAGTAAGGTGGCTGATTAGGCTTAGAAATTGGGTCAGTTGGACTTTAGCTTGACATATTTAGGCTAGCCTTCTTTGGTAATGGACCTCAGGCTCAATAATGTAACCAATGCAAATACAAAATTTATATACATTCACAAATAATCTTCAAATTGTTGTTGAATTGCACCTTTGTTGTATCAGCCAAATATTTTAAGCATGGAGTTGAATTAATCATATGTACTAAAGAAAAGATTTGAACTAATTTGAGTATGAAATTAGCATTATTTCGTAGTGGACAGCAAATTTTATGAAATTTTGTACCAAACACCTCACTACTTTTTGTTATTTCAAAGTACAATAGAAACAGTTTTTCTAAAAGCACAACAATGCCCAATTGGCACTAAAGGTGGGGGCGGTTTGAGACAAGTCATACAATGGGTCAATCATAATAATTAGATATTGAACTCATCATCTAAGAGCAACTCCACCATTCCTCTTAGCATGAGAGTGGGGGCCAAAGCAGTGACTATTCACTCAATGAATGGTATTGTCCTAGTGCAACTCCACCAATTTAAGAGTCCATGCAGTTTCTATTTATTTTTAATGCATATTAAATTACTTATAAAATGAAAAGTTTGTTTTATTTTTTGCATCGAAGTGAAAGAGATGGTTGGCTATGGTTTATAAAAACTTCTGGAATTTTTTATATTTTGTTTGTTTATATATATTAAAATTTTATTTACTTTATTTTAATTTTAAAGCTGAAAAATTATAGACCCTTCGATCTCCATACTGTTAAATACTAAATTGTTCAGATTTTGCCATGTAAAGTAGCAAATGGTTCTTGACCTTCGCGATTTCCACGTCAACAAAAATTGTCCGACCACTCAACAAAAACCTAGCAAAAAAAAAATGTAAAAATGAGTTAGGCCCATCAGTTGCCTAGGAAGTGGCATAGGCCGCATATGTCTGGGCTATTGTTGGAGCGAAAAAATTTAGGTACTCTAATTCTCTACTAAGCACGTTGAGAAGTTTTAGACATCATCTTCACTTATCATCAATGGGAGCAAGGGGGCTTGCAAGAAAATACATATCATTTAGGGTTTGTAAAGGAAAATTGTTTTTTTTGCAAAAATTCATTCTACTTGAGATTTCATCATGAGTTTAGCATTCGGCCATGATCATACAGTCTTCAACCATAATTCTGACCTTCGGCCACAATCATAAGGTCTTCGATCATGAGTTTTAGGTCTTCAACCTTCGGCTCTTATTTGGTCTAGGTCTTCAACCCACAGTCTCATGATCTTCGATCACCAATTTATGAAGTAATAGCATATGCATCAAGAGTAATTGAAATTCGAATAATATCAATATTACTAATAAGCATATGTAAGGTATAACTTTTATCTGTCGAGCAATTTCGTTATTGTCGTAGCGAATTCAATGCGTTTCTTTTGCTTTCAAGCCTTGAATGTTTGCCGAATGAGTGACTTTTAATTTTACTTCATAGTTCCTAACTTGATCATGCTTGTGCATTATTTGCCCTACACACGTATGTGATATGTAGCCCATTTTTTGCTTTTTCTTTAGTGGGTTACAGCTTGTCACATATTTTGAGTTTCTCTTTCGGTCATTGTGGCATCTTTTTTGTATTAAGAAGTCAAGACAATCCACGATCAATGCTATTTGTAATATAACACTTGCAAAACATTGATAATCAAGATCAAGTGAAAATGATGGAAAATATAATCTGCCTCTTGAGGCATGATATAGGAAATATGAAATATGCTCTTCCACAATGATGAGTTAAACAAGGCAATAAAAACCTTCTAACACTTCACAATTAAGATTTAAGGATGTCATGGACAAGATAGTTTTACAATTCCAAATGCTTGTGATAATGTAATACAAATTGTTGTTCCTATGCGCATGAAATATTCGTAGCACGGTTAGCACCTTCTCTATGAGATTGGAAGTTTCAAATATTGATAATTCCACTAGGCATAATCTCACATATATCCATAGCAAAATCAAGCAATGTCAAACGAAAACATAAATGGTTGATTTTGTGATTTAGTCAATGAAGCTTAGTTGTAATTAATTATGGAACTGATATTGTGGAGCAAAAAATAATCAAGAAAATTAAGGAGGTGACATGAGGACTTTTGAGTGAAAAAGATAAAATTACCCTTGAAGCACATTGGGATTCCCACACACAGGCAACGGACAATAACAGCTTAATCAAGGAAGAGTCAAAAGTGATCAAAATGGTATTTATTCAAAACCCTCTCATCACTCCTAATCAAATCCTCACCCAAAAGGTAAT